GATACGGGTGGTGGGGGGGGGGGGAACCAACCAAGGCACACGATAATGCTAGAAAGGAGCTTGCTGCTTTACCCCATGTGGATGGAGTCAGTGTTATTTCCTTTTCAATATGTAATGGAAGAACAGAGCTGGGGAGAAATTAGTGAGAAGGCCTGCTGTGGGAGGAGGCACTTAAAAATGTTCTTACTAAGCTTTATTTTCTAAGTGGAGCTTGGATAAAGATGTGTTAATGTTATGAAACCGCAGAAACTCCCTGTTAACTCAAATGAGGTCATTCATTGTAAGAGCTGGGGAATCTTCTCAGCAGAGAATTGTTTGTCATGCTATTGTGCTCCTCGTGTAAAGGCAGATCCCCTGTGAGGAGTTTTGGGAAGATTAAGGAGATTGTTTTTTAAGAATACTCTTTCTGAGTGTGTTTTTGAGCTTCCTAGATAAGTGTTGTCACAGGAAAGATTTGTGTAGAAGAGTTCATGGCACTGAAGAAGTATAAAATTTGCTGGCTTGCTTATGTTTAAAAAAAAAAAAGTCCTTAGACTTCAGTAAGTAGCAGTGTCTTTCTCTAGATTTTGTTGAGTTTTGCAGTATTGTAACGAACAGCTTAAAAGCCTTAAGAAAAAGGGTGGTTTTCATTTAAGTTCCATAGAAGTATTTCTATTTTCCGACCTTAATTAAAAGCAATTAAATTAGTTAGACAATAAAGTACTAGAATTATTCTTAGATATATTCTATGTTTATAGAAGCAGGCCTCTCAGGTGGTGGTGTATTTTTTTTCCTGAAATAACATTATACTAATGGAATAATTACCTTTTTCTCAAAAGGCACAAGGATTGGTGAACTACGAGCACTACACAGGTAAAAAACCCTTTATTTAAATACCCTGTAATTAGATTTTAAAAGTTCATTGTAAAAGTAACCTAGAAAGGGATTCTAAATTATTTTTCTTCTCAGCAGAACTGAAGAGCATACTGGGTCACAGCAGCAAAAGAAAGGCTCCCGAGCTCCTTTCTGATGGACCTTCTTTCAAACGCCAAGCTAATGTTCACCCACACCTCCTGGTAAGTAATTTTTTCCATGCCTTTATTTTTCAGTTTGCTTTGTGTAATCAGAAACTACCAGATACAGTAATACCTCTTAACTCTCTGGGGCTTGCTTTGATTTTTTTTTTTTGTTTTCCCCCCACTGATATAGACACCACCCCAGACACCAACTTCTATGGATAACATGGAGGAGGCGCATAAAAACGACCCAAAGCATGACAGCAATTCTGATCTGCTTCAGAATATCATAAACATCAAGAACGAGTCAAGCCCCGTTTCTCTGAACACGGTGCAGGTCAGCTGGTTGCACACTGTCTCTAGTAACAGCTCACCTGGTGAGCAGTACCAGGAGAGCCTGGGCACACAGGCTTTCTCCCCATCTCAGAAATACCAAGGCTTCCAAGATCATACCTCCCAGCACATGCTGGATCCGCCACAGCATTACCAGTTCCCTCCGTCCCAGAACCAGGATTTGTCACAGAGCTATCCTTCAGATGCTTCCCTGGAGTACAGGCCATTTGCTGCTAATGACCAGTCTCCTGGCTACCAGCAGAACACCTTTGAGAGCCATGAACTGCAATACTGCCCATTGCAGAGCTTCTCATCCCTCTTGAATGACTCTGAAGGCTCAGAGGGCATCTCTGCCCACCTCCAGCCACTCACCAGTGCCCACCTGCAGGCTGATGTCAGCCCTAGTGCTCCAAACTTCAGCTTGCTTTCCAATAACATCTGTGGGAATCTGGAGCGTAGTGTCTCTTTGGCTACTTTGAATGTCTCTCTACCTGACCAAAACATTGCCAGAAGCACGACACAGCTGGGCAAGTCATTTTTTCAATGGCAAGTGGAGCAGGAGGAGAACAAACTGGCCAACATCTCTCAAGACCAGTTCCTTGCAAAAGACTCGGATGGAGACACGTAAGTGCTGTTTACCTTGGTGTTTTTGATGTGGAAGATTGGGGAACGTTTCTGCTCGGATTTTGGTGGATCATGGGGTTATAATGGAAGCAGTTCATTAGCAGTGTTTGTTTCATGAGTGCAGTATTGCAAATCAAGTGTAATGTGTGGTCTTGCTGATGGGCTGCGATGCACAAAGTTGTGGCACACTGAGCAGATAAGGTGTTTGTATTGTCTAATTTCAGGTACATACCATTAGACTTTTATCTAGTAAATGGGGAGAAAAGAATTCTAATTTAGATGTCTTAAATTGCCCGAGGAATAAGGTATCCGTTTTCCTGTCTTAGTCACCCAGAGGAGGTCTGAAGCTGGCAGCATAACACCACTCCCATATGTTGGGATCTCTGTAATTACTTGAGCACTGGTTTGTATGGTGGTGTAACTCTGTTTCCCCTCTTTCCTTCAGCTTCCTTCACATTGCAGTTGCCCAGGGCCGACGCGCACTCTCCTATGTTCTGGCGAGGAAGATGGCTGCCCTGCACATGCTGGATATTAAAGAACACAATGGCCAGGTGAGGTTCTCAAAATCTCTGCACCTGCTCTGTGCACCTGAGTGCTTTTGCGTGTCTGGACTTTCAGGAAGATGTGGTGAAAAGCTTATTTAATATTAACCCTGAGATTTAGGCTGCATACTAATATTAACCTTGAGCTATTAATGCTTCTTGGGATCACCTTGAGCTGGTAAAACTATGTGCTCTACTTCATTTGTCCTGGCTTCCTGGTATTCATATTCACTGCTTAAATAATACCAGGTAGCCAGGCTTTTTATTTGTTTTAGTTGCTCTTTCCTGTTAGAGATCAGATGACTAATAGTTTAAATTTTCTTCTCAATGTTTGCAGAGTGCTTTCCAGGTTGCTGTGGCTGCCAATCAGCATCTCATTGTGCAGGACTTGGTTAGCTTGGGGGCTCAAGTCAACACCACAGACTGCTGGGGTAGAACGCCGTTGCATGTTTGTGCTGAGAAGGGACATGCCCAGGTCCTTCAGGTGAGAACCAGGCGGGCATAGCTCTGCTCTGACTGTTAATGCTAATGCGACATATTTGTTGTCTTGGGAAACTGACAACACCACTCCTTCCTTGGTCTTTCACTCCATGTAGCCCTGTGAGCGTGTCTCAGAGCCCTGCAGTAAGGGCTTAAAGTGAGACTGAATTTCGCCAACGTTTTAGAGTAACTTGATGGAATCCTCTAGTCTACGAAAACACTTAAGTCTCAATGCCATTGTTTATTGCAACTTCATTGTAGTAAGGCTGTACACAAGCTTGAGGAAAGCAATATGTGCTTTGGGTAAGACCTAAATGCCTACCTGTTCCCACTTTTGTAGGCAATCCAAAAGGGAGCCATGGGAAGCAATCAGTATGTGGACCTTGAGGCAACAAACTATGATGGTGAGTAGTTAAGAGTTCATAATTTACAGTGTTACTGGATGTTATAATGTTTTATGGCTGCTGATGTGAAATGTTATCCTGGGTTGAGAAGCAATAAAATGGAGTATATCTTTGCCAGGTTCAAATTTACAATTACAATTGATGAAATTGTATTACAACTGGTGTATCTGTCAGATAAAAACATGGTTAGTCTGTGCCTGCCAGGACCTCTTCCATCTTATGTGCGATTGCTGTGTTTGGCACAGAGTGGAGGTGGTAATAGACTTGTTAAAAATATGAGTGCCAGCGATACCTTGGTGGATACAGAAGCCAAAATCTGACACCAGAGAGCTGTTTTAATTGAATCACATTCCATATAACAGCTCTGTCTGAAGTACATCTTGTTTAAGAAAAAAATAAATCAAATTAGTTCATTTATTATTCGCTGGCTGAATGTTCACAGTAGGTTGCTACTTGGACAGCCCAAATCCTCAGCCATTCAAGAGCAATCACTGCCACTTAAAAATGTGGAACCTGTCCCTGGGCTTCACAGGAAGGGAATCTCTTTTATCCATCTTTCAAACCAAGCGGCCAGTCAGTACTTCTGTACTGTATTTGTTCATCAATGATGGTTTCTTTTTTTAATGTTAAGGTTTGACAGCATTGCACTGTGCTGTTCTGGCCCATAATGCTGTGCTGCATGAACTGCAGAACAGTCAGCCACCTCACTCCCCTGAGGTCCAGGAGCGTCTGCTGAGAAACAAGAGCCTGGTAGAAACCATCAAGACTCTGATACAAATGGGAGCCTCTGTTGAAGCAAAAGTAAGTACAGTGGCTTTGTTTCAAGTGCCAGATCCAGAGAGAATGTGGAAGCAGAATATGTCCCTTTCTCCCACGCCACATCTCGGCTTAATTATAAAGGAAGTAGACTAATTTGAAGGCTTCCCTAATTTACCCAAATGAAATGAGAATGTTGCATTTATTCAGAGCAAGGTATTATCAGTGCAAATGAACCCTGAGGAAAGAGGGAGGTGACAGTCTAATTTCTGCATTAAGAATGATGCTACTCTGTCTGCAGCTGGTTGCCTCTTAAAAGTAAGAATATATTTGGAGGTATCTGTAGTAATAGGATGCTGATGATACCTTGTTCTTGAACTACAAATTTTAATTAAAAACTGCTTCCCTGACCAGTTTAGGTCTGTGCTCCATCAGATAGTTCCTTGGTATAAAACTGCTTATTTTGGCTGTGTAAGCTTACTGCCAAATGAGGTCTGCTCGACTGTTCATTAGATATTCATATTAAACTACACATTCAGATTGACTTTCAGTGAGTTGTAATGCTAAAACATTTGTTCAGCACTCTGTAGTTGCTCTGTTTTATTTGTTTGCATGTTCACCCTGTATAGGTGAAGCACCTGTGGGGAAGACTAACAGTTTCATTTTTTTATAGGATCGCAAAAGTGGTCGCTCGGCTTTACATTTAGCGGCAGAAGAAGCAAATCTGGAGCTCATCCGTCTCTTTCTGGAGCTGCCCAACTGTCTGTCTTTTGTTAACGCAAAGGTACGGTGACTTTTCCATAATGTAGATATAATCTGAGATGTCCACATGTGAGTGGACATGTGTCCACTGTGAGTGCCCCAAGACTCATGCCCCTGCCTTTCCTTCATGGAGTGACTTTGTCTTTTCCAGGCTTACAATGGCAACACAGCACTCCACGTGGCTGCCAGCCTGCAGTATCGGGTGAGTCAGTTGGATGCTGTGCGCCTGCTAATGCGAAAGGGAGCTGATCCAAGTGCCAGAAACTTGGAGAACGAGCAGCCAGTTCATCTGGTTCCTGATGGCCTTGTAGGAGAACAGGTAAAAAAGTGAAACAACCCTCTCCTCTGCTCCCACCTGCCCCCATCTACCCAAAAGCCTTATTCCTCTCCAAAAGTTTCTTTTGAGTTTTGAGTTGCAGCTTTTAAGGAAAAGATTTAGCAAATGCATTCAGGAAACTTTTTGGTGCTATTGTTGGGATCAGACAATCTACAAAGACCTGAAATCACAGGTTTCACTTGTAGCTTTTATTTTTTTCCATCTCAAAAGGTTCTTCCTGTCAAGCTAGGGTTTTTCTTTATAATCTTTGCAACATACATGAGGTAATATCCCTTCTCTTGTTTGTCCCAGTATGGCCTGAGATCATGCTTTTGTTGCTTTTGTCATAATTAGTAATGGCAGTTCTTAGGCCTGAAAAATCCCTTTTTCCAGGATCTATACAAATACACGATGAAAAAGGTGACCCTAAGGTCACCTAAGGAGCCAATAACTCAAGCGACTGAGTAATTTTGTTGCCTTTCATTGGTTCAAATGCTGTCAAATTGGATAAACGGAAATCAGAACCTAGACTCAGATGAATGAGGAATGCAGAACTGGGTCTAGTTTTTTTGGTGTTTTGTTTAGATTATGATTCACTTTAAGATGATAGATACTAATATTTTGTCTTTTTTTTTCTTCTCCAGATAAGACGTATCCTAAAAGGGAAGGCGATTCAGCAGAGAGTGTCGCCATTTTAAGCTCCATGTTTCTTGGAGTTCAGTAACTCACACTCACTGTCCAGTCAGGCAGTCCTAATGTATCTGTAAATAGACCATTTGCCCAGTGTGGGCAAATGTTAGTTGTTTCTATGAAACAAAAGTATTTTGTTCACTATTGTGTAGTGGGTTATATAAAAGTAAAACAACAACAAAAAAAACTGAAACAAAACCCAACAATCAACTTTCTCTGAGCAAATGGGAATGTTTCATTCCCAAGTATGTTAGAACATTTGCCTCGATACCTGGATTTCATAGCTACAGCATGACTGATTTTATTTAAACAGCCATGCAGATAAATTTTGGATGAGGACAATTCTACAGGAAATCTTTTTATTTAGAGGAGGCTGATGTCAGAGTTTTTTGTTGTGTTTTTAGTAACACTTAAGTGCAAGAGAAATAAAATATTTTTGAAGTTGAACATTTATTTATGAAATTTTGTAGCTTTCTTCCAGTATCTTGTGCAGGATTGTATATAATCACTGGCATTATTGTACAGCTGTATAGTTCTTGAAAACGTATTGATTGCTTGGGTAATAAACTGAAGAAACAAGTTTCTTGATCTTGAACTAGCAAATTGCCTATAGAGTTTTAATACTATACTGTTGTAAATTTGGTAAATTATGTTGTTTTGAAAGACTGAAGACTGAAAGTGCAGTTAAGATAAATTGTCCCTAGCACTGTTTTGTGCATGCTTTTGGAGTTGTTAACAAAACATGAAAAGTCATGCTTCTTCAGAGTACTGCATCAGTTTTTTTCATGCCTAGTAGAGGTTTTTCTTTTGATGAGGCAATAGATTGATGGAGAAAGATCATGACTTATGGTGTATATAACTTTGTACTTTAAAGAATGTGATCCTGATTCAGTGAAAGTATTTAGTACGTACTTAACTGTTGATGTGTGCTGAAATCCCTCATGTTAATTATAATAGTTCAGTATGTGTAAGCCCTGCTGGCGTCAGTAAGGCTTAAGCACATGCGTAAGTAGTTTGCTGAATTGGGCTCTAGTTAATCCTAGAGACTTAGTGTTTTTCACCTCCTAAGCAGAGTTAGTCCATTTATGGTTTTACCTTATAGGTATAGTGGCTAGCCAAGTAATATTTGAAGTTAACACTTTTCTGATTTTTAATGATGATGGGTATTAATGCAAAATGTATACTCATGATGCTGTATACTTGTGTTCTGTTGGAGAAAACTCCTTTCACTTTCTGAATGGTCCATGCTGGGCTGTAATCCAGTGATATGTTCTCTGTATGGTCTTCGCTCTTAAACTGTTTTTGTATCACATGCAATTCTGTGTTGTAACTGTTTAATTAGTCTGATTGTGCTGTTTTGACAAAGTATGTCTTGTAGACAAGCTAAGTGAAAACTGATATCTGGAGGCCTAGTTGCAATGTATTTCTTGAAGGGTCTCATGTAGCTTGCATTTGAATAAACTTGCTAATTAAAATTTGGTGGTTACTGTCTGATGCAAATAGTGGTGACAGAATCAAGTTTGAGGTAAAACTGATTTAGCATGGTAATACTGCGAGACTGAAGATCTGTTTAAGGATGAAATTAAGTCTTTCCATCCTGCTGTTTAGGCTTTCTCTTGTTTGGTGCTAGTTCTAAAGCTGATGCTTGGGTGTTTTGGGTCATGCACCATGCAGTTGTATTGCCTGTGTATTTAGTAGATGTGCTCATACGGAATCAATTGTCACCAGGTTGTCCAAATTGCAGGTTGTTACATGGACGCCTGTCCCTGTATACTTGACAGAATGATCACAATTCTGATGTCATCTTTTCCCCATGACTTCCTTGGCTTGGTCCTCAATTCTTACTGCTCAGGTCTAAGCAGTCACCTTAGCACAGGTGGAAGTTTGCATGAGAAAATGAGGCTATACAGATGGGGAAAGGCTGTCCTTGCATTACAAATTAAAAGATGGGCTCTGAGCTGGCCATGACCTTTCAGGAGGAAGAACTGTCATTGCAGGCTGTTCTTCACTCTGCTGGTGAGATGGCAACAGTCAAGAAAAGTGGAGGGAAGCATTAGGATCTGTAGGAAAGGAACTGAAGAAAAACAAGAGTGCTTCTATGCTGCTGTATAAACTTGTCCACACCTGCTCTACTGCTCTGTATGGTGTCCCCTCAGATCAAGTGTTTAAAGATTAGAAGACACCCAGAGGTGTGGAGGAGCTTCCTTGCAGAGAGCAACAGAGCATACTAAGGCTTTTCAGCTGCAAAAGCAGTGGATGACAGCAGGTGTGACACCTGCAAAGCCATGTCAGGCCAGAGAAACTGGTCTGGGATGAACTGCTCACTGTCCCTTCCAGCATGGGAGTTGGAGGCTGTTAATGAAGGTACCAAGTACACAACACGGGATGCAATCCTAGAGATGGTGGAAGAATGTGGTAGAAACAAGACATTTGTTGATGCAGGGAGGGCATGGGTGTATACTTAAAAACAGGCCATTTTTGTGAAGAGTTACTAAAAAGATTAACCATGTGAGGTAGTCCTCTCTGTGTTGAAGGGTGAGGTACTGTACTGCAGGCTTGCCCTGCTTTCAGCTCTTCCTTGAGGGCTTGCTGATGGCCAGTCTCACAGACCTGATACCAGACCAGGTTATACCCTTTACTCAAATCATTGCAGTTAGGTTTTTAGTGCTTTGTGGATTCAGTCCAGCTCCACTGATAGTGGTTGAGCCTTTCATGAGAAGAAAATGTAGGAAAAACATCTTGCAGGCAGCTAGTTGAGTGCTTCAGGAGAATACTTCCAGGTTTTTGCTCTGCTGCTCTTCTGTGTGAAAACTCGTCCCTGGAAGTACCAAAAAATGGCTTTTGGTGCTGAGGTAAGGTGACACAGAGAGGAGGCTCTACATAATTTAGCAGATGGGTGGGAAATTATGATGGAGACTGGCAATGAAATTAAATTTCTAGTTAGAGTATGCAAAGATGAGATGGCACCTCTTTATGGGAACAGCTAATTGGGCCTAGATTGTGTTGAAGATGCTGTCATCTGCACCTCACTGCAAGTGACCCTGCCTTAGGTTGATTTTTTTTTGTTGTTGTTTCCTTTAATGAGGAGACTGATAGTACTCTTTCAACTTCATTTCCATTTTTTTTATAAGAGGTGATTACACAGGAAAAAGAATTGCTGATGAGATATTCTGGCCCTTCAGATCAGCCTGATCCAACTGCCTGGCACTCCTTTCTGTTGACTGAGTCATCTCACAAAGGGATAAAGTATCTTGGGCTTGTAAGGGTGGCAGAGAGCACATGTTCGGTCAATGCTTGAGCGTGAAGCAGGTGCTGCTGGTGAGAGGCGTTTAGTAAGTGGCACTGTGCTTTCGGCACTGTGCTTTCGGCAGTACTTGTGCCCTTCTGGAAGGGGCACTCCCAACACTCCAAGGTAGAAGATTCCCAAGGGGAATCTGAAGTGTTTGAAGCTAATTTAACTGCCTAGAGCCAAATTTCATTGTCTAAAGAGCTCAGTATGCAATTTCACAAGAAAGCATCCCTATTCCAAGTATAGCTGACTCATTTTTCTCTCTTATGATACTGGGAAGTTCTGGTATATCTGACATTGATATAACTAGCTATTAGAAATAATCCCTTTTTTACTGAATGGCAAATGAAAATAAATAGTTAGCAGGCAAATAGTGTTTTCCTGAAAACTTAAGGTATTGGGAAAGTGCTGAATAGCTTTTACTGGTGTGGATGCAGGCGTGCTCCATTTATATCTCTGGTTGGAGTAGAGGCAGAAGAGACTTTGGCTTGGGTTCGAGTAGAGATATTAAGACACATGGAGCTTTGTTCTCAGGATGTTTCTGATTTGTTTGTCTAAGTAAGCCAAACCTCAGGAAAGGGTTGCTTTTTGATTTTGTGGGCTAGTTATCTAGCTGGAGTTGTGGAAGGTGGCAATCCATGATTTACAAGAAATGTGTTCTGCTTCCGGGGATGGAAAAAACACATTTCCCACGTTTACGGCTCATTTTATATTTTTATCAGAAAAGTCAAACATCTCCAGGAAGTTCATTCTTAGAGAGGTTGGGTGTGGTGGAAGAGACTTCAAAGATACAACATGAACTGCTTGTTCTTCTCACTAAACAGTTTGTGCTTATAGATGTGTGTGTGTGTGTGTGTGTATGTATATATACACTCTTCTATGTAAGGGAAGAGCCAAGGATTATTAAAGTGCAGTGAACATGAGAGGCCAAAAATTGACCTGGTCTTTCAGTGCATTCAAAACAAATTCTTCTATTGTTATTTGTTACCTTTCTTGAGTGTTTGGTGGTAGTCTTGACCTGAGATACTGATGGCTTGGGAGAGTTAGACAACTAGCTCCTCATCAAGTTGGTTAAGTGTCATCCAGCCTCCAGTATTGATTCTTTTCACAATTAGGACAAGGACCAGCACTGCTGGTGCAGACACTGGCCTGTGCCTGGGTTTAGAAAGGCAAGTGGCACCCCCAGAAGTCACGGCACCTTCCAAGCAGTGTCTCACCTCACTTCCTTGCTGCTCTCAGGGCTGCAGTGAAGGCTCGTCTGGCAGCATTTTTTTTCAAATAATTGGATTTGGGTGTTGGTTTTCTCCTTCAGGTGCCTATCTTGGTCTTGCTGGAGAAAGTTAATACAACTTTGGCTGTGTTTGTTTAGTGTATATTTGTTTTGAGCTCCCATGATTAAGAGGCTGACTCAGTAAGTCTTTGTTTTACCTGGCAAAACTTACTCTTAGCTCTGAAAACTCAATATAGGCTGTTTTGAGAAACTAGTTGCTGCACTAACCAACCTATATTTCACACTTGTTTTTTCTCTTAGTTTCTGGTGAATTTCTCCCTCCTCCTTTGCTAGTCAGAGAGCCTGCGGAAAGATGATTTAGGAGCAGACAACTGAAAACAGTTGCCCATTCTAGAATCATTAAGGTTGAGAGAGACCTCTAAGATTGTTTAGTCCAACCATCAACCTAACACCACCGTGCCCACTAAATCATATCCACATGCCTCTTGAACACCTCTAGAGATGGTGTCTACAGCACTTCCCTGGGCAGCCTGTGCCAGTGTTTGACTACTCTTTCAGGAAATAAATCTTTCCTAATATCCAGTCTAAATGTCCCCTGGCTCAAGTTGAAGCCATTTCTTCTTGTCCTGTCACTAGTTACATTGCTTCTGTAAATTAGTCTGGGCTGTGAGTAAGACTGTGAAGAGTCTGAGTGAAATTTCTTCATGTGGATGCAGTGCACAAATGCTTCCACACACATTTAATGAAAGCTTGTAGCTCTGTCTCAGTCACA